CCAATAAACCACAGTTAAGGTTACAATATCCAATGCAGTATCTCTACTGGGTAGACTGATGACCCCCATTTCTCAGTGTACCTAAAGTCACTTATGTGAAGAGCCATGACTCAAATCAGGATGTGTTTGATTCTAAAGTTCATTTGTCCATTTCAATCCATGCCAAATGGCACACCTGCTATACTTTTAAATTCTCTCAAAATTACTTGTTCCTTTTCATGATATGCATATACTCCTACTAGTCTTTCACTTCTACGGTTTGTGCTATAACCTAAAAAGAATAAAACAAGTCCCTAGAGCAGTATTTTAATTTTACTCTCAAGCCAAAGTATGTTTCAGCTATATGTAAAGCTTCATTTTTCCTGCTTGCTGTTTTAACTCCAAGGACATATTCTTTGAAGACAGTATAGAAAAAAAAACTTAAATATTCTACAACCAGTGCTATGTTTGTGTATGAAAGGAGAAACCAGGAGAGACGAATAAAAATGACCTCAAAGAAAACTTCAGAGAATAACTAGTATAGCCATTGTTGTTGTTCCCTGCTTATTTATAAACTGGAGAGCTGACAGGAAACAATGAATTCATCTTTCACCAAATGCTTTCTACACTCTGAAATTCATTGAGTTACTTTTGCTACATTTAGATAAATCTTTAAATGTCCTATCTGGGCTTCTTCTGAAACATACTAGAGACCACTAAGTTTGCACGGTTTTTATGGTTCTTCTATATTGTACACTGGACACTGTCCTTTCCCTTTTTTATAAATGGTTACCTCTATTGGACTTCCTACTTATAATCTGTTAAGATGACCTAGGAACCCCACAAAAACAGAATAATATATTTTACACCCACTTATTTTCACTGATTAGTAACCATATATAAATAGTTATTTTTTTTTAAAGATACAGCAGAATGTTTGAAACTCATTAAATGTCTCAGTGAATAAATTCTGTTGCTTGGGTATATCAGAGGGTTAGTCAACATAAAGGAAATTTCCATAAGCATTAAAACTCGATCTTTTCCATCTTTGTATGTATGTATGTAAATATACATAAAATTTACCATTTTAACCAATTTTTAAGTATACAGTTCAATGCATTAAGAGCATTTGTGCAACCATTACCATTATCCATTTCTGGAACATTTTCATCATCTCAAACTGAAATTCGGCACTCATTAAATAATAATGCATATACTCTGCCCTCAGGGAACCTCTATTCTACTTGTTTCCATGAATTTGCCTATTCTAATTTCTTATGTAAGTGTAATCATATTTTTCCTCCGATGTCTAGCTTATTTCATCTAGCATAATGTCTTCAAGTATGTCCATATTCTGTTATTAGAATTGTACTCTTTTTTAAGGCTATGTTATAGTCCATGTATGGACATACCATATTTTGTTTATACATTTATCAGTCAGTGGACATTTAAGTTTCCATCTTTTAACTGTTGTGAATAATGCTGCTACAAACATTACTCTGGTTTAAAGTAGAGAAGCTAAACTTTCTTTCCCAGCAAAGGATCATCACATACCACAGTAAAGAGTTTTCGCTGTAATGGTTGATATGATGTTACTTCCTTCAGTGTCCAAGTACAAGCCATGTTAGGTCTCTGTCCCATTCCACTACAGGGTGCATCAAGAAGAATGCGATCAAAAGATTCTGGTAAGAATGGAGGTTCCCCTATTAAGAGAATTAGAAACATATTTGCTGTCTGTCCTATTGATCTAGAAAAGAAATAATAATCCAGAGGAGAATATTCTGAATATCCATAATAGAAAATAAAAACAATTCCTGTCTTTAATCAAGTACCTAAATTAATTCTAGGTTATATTTAATATAGATCTGACTTTGTAGGAAAGTTTAAAATGTGGTTATTACAGTTAGAGTTTACTTTACTGACATAGTACCCACCAAGGACAAATCAAACAAGACCTTGAACTAGCAACTTTAGAAGCCACAATTCATCAGAGATAGAACGTGGCATTAATGCCAATTATTCTTCAAACTGGTATTTCTCTTGGTAATTCCTACTGCAGACCACTCCAGAAGAGAAAGCCTGGTAGATTGTAAACATACAAGTTCCAGTTCTGTTCTTTAGTCTCCTGGTCTCTTTGGCCTCCAGTACGGCTATAATCTAGAATGAGCCATGATCCACCCCCGCCAGGATTCAGTCTTACACCAAGTGTCCCTTTGGATTCACTTTAATAATTTTCTTCATTCTATCTTCTGGTCTATTTAACATTACTGGATAAAGTCATGAAACCAAATGGTCTACAAATACATTTATGTTTGCTCTTTACCTGTAAGCTAGATATTGCTGACTCCTTTTAGTTACAGGATTTCCTGCCAGACCCACCACAATATTCCAAGCATCACTGCAGTATCACCTTCTGCTTTTCTGACTGCAAAGCCGTTAGACCTAAGCTATTATCAGTTTAGCTCATCTCCATGTGTAGTCATCTTTGCTTTCTTACCAACTGTCTTACAGGGATTCTCAAAAATATTTTTTTAGGTTTTTAATATTCACTGAAAAAAATCTTCTATGAAGAAATATACAAGTTTATACTTTCACTAACATGAATGTAATTATTTTCCAAAAATTCTCAAAGCTGATTTTTTATTTTATTACCTATTTGCATTGTTTTTAAGACACATTCTTCACTGTTGCCTTGTTCCTACAAACTAGAAGAGCTCTTTGACTATTAAGGATATTAATCATTTCTCTATTAAATATTTTTCACAATCTGTCATGTGACTTAGGTTTTTAAACATAATATTGAGCAAGTATATCTTCATTGTTGAGTTTTATCTATGCTTTCATATAATATTCCCCATCGTGAAATCAGATGAATGTTCATCTTTATCTGCTTTCAGGGATTTTCACTTTTAACTCTTCACACTATCCTCTTTAATCCATCTTGTATTTACTTTTGTGTATAATCACTTCTCCCTCTTCCAAAAAAAAAAAATCAACTCAAAACTACTAACATACCCCTTCGTCCAGGTTTATATGCTACTTTTATCTTCTACTACTCAGACCTATTTGAAGGGCTTCTGTTCTGCTCCAGCATATTCTAATTGTTGAGCTTTTTTTTTTTTTCCTGAGCTCCAACTCTATGCCTTCTGCTTCCCACCATTCCTTGTTGAGATCCCCTGCTGGGAGACACCATCTTGCTGGGAAGAGTTAAGCAGAAAACCTCTGACTAAGCACTGCTGCAGATGGGCAGCCCTAACTACAGGAGAATTCCACAGATCTCACTGATCTTAAATAAAATCTAGAGGGCAGAGTAGAGTCCTAGCAACTGCTCCAAAAAAGGAATCCGCACTGCCTCCCTCTGCCCTCAAAGTGACAGACCTGAGTTGCTGCTAAGAAGCTAGTAAACTCTACCTGTCTGAGGAGGAAACAAGCAGCCCCTTCACAACCCGAATCCCCCAGAGAGCAAGGGCACTTTCCAGAGCAAAGACCAGGCTCCCATGAATCCCACAGGCACAGGAGTTTTGGGCACAAACTCTGAAGCTATACTTGATTGCTCTCTATCATCTAGGTAAGTTCCGGGTAATTTCTTGGGGCCAGTTGCCAGCAGCAGTCCACACACAATTCCAAAGAACCAGAACACGAGGAAAACTCCTTATCACAGGGTCCTAGGGGCTGAAGCACAAACCCCAGATTCATCCTGGCATACCCTGTGAAAACTAGGGATAGTCCTCGCTATCAGGCAACCCTGGGGCTGTCACTGCTGGTGCTGTGATTCCAGGAGTAATTCACACTCACCTGTGGGGTTTAGAGGGTTCTGCCTGGATTCCTCTGTGTCAGATTGGTGACCACCAATCCACAATCCCTGGAATTACTGGCATGCACACTGTGTAGACCTGCGTAAGGACCCCCACTGTCTTCTGCAGCTCCAGGACTGACTATACTATATTCCTCAGAGTCATCGAAACACACCTTTTGGTACCTGGGGAATAATGTTCTTGCTCCACACCTCACCTACTAGTGTGTAATACTCCTCCTAACCAGTATTCACCCTGTGGAACTGGGGCAAGTTCACCTTACCACCTCCCAGTGCTCAGACTTAGGCTCCCGGTGCTGTAAGCCCCAGCATTAGTCACTCCTATACAGCAGGACCTGGGGAAGTTCCTATCCAAAGCATTTAGTCTGAGGGCCACATCTATTGGTGCCACAGGACAAGGGGATGTCTCACAATATCAGAAATGTGGTTACAGCTATCAAAAACCCAACTCTCTCAGGACTAAAGATACACATCTTTGGAAGCTCCCATCATACTGTTAACTCCAAAATCTGCTGCAGACTAATGTGGCTTTTGTAGACACTGCTGACATTGATTACCACTGAATAAATCACTTACAGGCTACATTTCAGGCCTCACCTAGAACCAAAGCCAAATATACAACCCAAGTGACACTGCACATTCCATATAAACAAAATAATATTTCCAATGAATCTCATTCCATAAAAAGAGGATGAGGAGATCTATTAAGCCAGATGCTTAGATACCAACATAGGGTCACAGGAAACATGAGGAAGTAAGGAAACATGACACCACCAAAAGAACACAACAGTTCTCCAGAAATAGATTCTGAACTGAGAAATCTATGAAATGTGTGGAAAAGAAATCAAAATAATGATCCTAAGGAAACTCAGTGAGATGCAAAACAGTTTAAAGATGTGAGGGGGGGCCGGTGCCGTGGCTCACTAGGCTAATCCTCCACCTGCAGCACCAGCACCCAGGGTTCTAGTCAAGGTTGCTCCTCTTCCAGTCCAGCTCTCTGCTGTGGCCCGGGAGTACAGTGGAGGATGGCCCAAGTCCTTGGGCCCTGCACCCGCATGGGAGACCAGGGGATGCACCTGGCTCCTGGCTTCGGATCAGCACAGTGCGCCGGCCATAGCGGCCTTTTGGGGGGTGAACCAATGGAAGGAAGACCTTTCTGTCAGTCTCTCTCACTGCCTAACTCTGCCAAAAAAATAAAATAAAGATGTGAGAGGGAAAAATGACATGAATGAGAAATTCAATAAGGAGACAAAAATAATTAAAATGAACCAAACAATAATTATGGAGCTAAAAATTTACTCAAGGAAATGAAAAAAAAAAAAAACACAACTGAGAGCTTAACCAGCAGAACAAAACAAGCAGAGGAAAGAAATTCTGACCTACATGACAAGACTTCTGAAATACTGAAGTCACACAAAAATAAAGAGAAAATAAAAAATAAGCAGAAAGCCTACAGGACATGTAGGATCCCATTAAGGCATTATTCATATTATAGGGATACCTAAAGGAAAGAAAAAGAAAAAAGTATTGAGAATCTACTAAATGAAATAATAGTTAGAAACTTTTTAAGTCTTGTAAGAGCTATGTACATCAAGATAAAAGAAGTTCAAAGGGCCCCAATCAGAATGAACCAACAAAGATCTTTTCCAAGGCATACTGAAAAATATGTATTATAACAATACTGTTCTCATCCCATGAGAAAAAGGTATTACTTGTGTCTGGTTTGCATGGATTTCAAAGTTTCGTTTTCAAACCAAATACTTCTGCGGCTGCAGCTGTGGCATAGTGGGCTAAGCCTCCCCTGTGGTGCGGGAAGCCCAGATGGGGGCCAATTCTAGTCCCAGCTGCTCCACTTCCGATCCAGCTCTCTGCCATGGCCTGGGAAAGCAGTAGAAGATGGCCCAAGTCCTTGGGCCCCTGTACCCTGCATGGGAGACCCAGACAAAGCTCCTGGCTTCGGAGAGGCTCAGCTCCAGCCGCTGCAGCCATCTGGAGAATGAACCAGGAGATGGAAGACCTTTCTCTCTCTCTCTCTCCCTGTCTATAACTCTACCTCTCAAATAAATAAAATCATTAAAAAAAAAAAAAGGTCAAAATTTCCCACTGAGCTACCCTTTAGAAGTTAAGGAGAGCCTGCCCAGCACCCACAATTCCCAGGCCGCAGCAAGGGTGCAGCAGGAGTTGAGGGTGAGCTAGCAGGGCTGAGGGCTCACGCACTACCACCCCATCTGAAGAAATGAGTGGTGGATTGGCCCCAAGTAAAAGCACAGTGTATGACTCCCAACTTATCCTTTTCCCTGACAAATAATGACCTATACAGGATATTTTCCAAGTACGGCAAAGTTGTAAAGGTTAATATAATGAAAAATAAAAATACCAAGAAGAGTAAAAGGGTTGCATTTATTTTGTTGTTGGATAAAGACTGTGTACCAAATTGCACCAGGGCAATAAGCAGCAGTTACTTGGGAGAGTGATAAAAGCAAGCATTGCTATTGACAATGGAAGAGCAGCTGAATTCATCTGAAGATGAAACTACTTTGATAAACCCAACAGCTATGAATGTGGGGGAAGTGGACACTTAAGTCATGCCTGTCTTAAAAATATGCTTGGAGAACATGAACCTTCAAAGAAAGAAAAAAGTTCCAGAACCAGAAGAAGAAATTGAGGAAGCAGAAGAAAGTGAAGATGGAGGGGAAAACCCTGCTCTGGACAGCCTCAGCCAGGCAACAGCCTTCCAGAAAGACAAAACTGAAGAGAATAAAGGAAATAGAAACCTGGTTCAGGGGGTCTCAACATCAGATGACTCAAGATGGCCGAGGATAAAGAAGCACATATTTCAGTGATGAAGAGGAGCTCAGTGACTGAAATTACATTTACTTCATAAATATC